TTTAATTTATGTCTTAAAGAAGGCGTTTTTCCAACTATATGGAAGGAAACGTTCATAACCCCGTTACATAAAAGCGGTAGCAGATCTTCAGTGGAGAACTACCGGGGAATAGCTAAGCTTTCTGCAATTCCTAAATTATTTGAAGCAATTATAACAAATCAGTTGACGCATTCTATCTCTTCTAGCATTTCATATAGTCAACATGGATTTTGCAAGGGCAAATCAACTTCTACAAATTTACTTGAATTAACATCCTATATCTCAAAAGCATTTAGTGAAAACAAAACTGTTGATGTTATATACACAGTCTTCAGTAAAGCATTTGACAAAGTGTGCCACTCGTTGCTCATCTACAAACTTGATCTTCTTGGTCTTCCACCTAATTTTCTACGTTGGATCTCTTCATACCTCTATGATAGATCACAAAGGGTAATGTTTAAAAATACTATCTCTGACGTCATTGATGTTACTTCAGGAGTCCCTCAAGGTAGCCACCTAGGCCCGGTTCTGTTCTTGCTTTTTATAAACGATATTTCTACAGATATACAATTTTCCAAAATTTTAATGTATGCAGATGATGTAAAGCTTTATAAATCGTACGTTTCAATTAAAGAAAGGTCTTTGCTACAATCAGACTTAGACAGCATGGCTTACTGGTGTCAAGTAAATCTTATGCCTCTAAATCTTAAGAAATGTAAAGTAATGAGCTTCTCGCGAAGAGCTGTTCATCCCACTTCTTATACAATAGGTAACCATAACCTGGAACAGGTATACAATTTTGTGGACCTTGGTATCACAATGGATCCTAAGCTTAATTTTAATCTTCATATTAATGTGACAGTCAACAAGGCTAAAGGTGTACTTGCATTTGTGAAACGATGGTCAAAAGAATTTTGTGACCCTTATATCACTAAAACCCTGTTTACAACATTAGTTAGGCCAATTCTGGAATACGGTTCGGTGGTTTGGAATCCAAGGTATCAAATTTACTCAGACAAGATAGAATCAATTCAAAAACAATTCCTACTTTTTGCTTTAAGAAATTTCCGTTGGGATTCTCAATTTAACCTTCCACCTTATACGAGCCGATTAAAACTTATTAATCTTCCTACCCTTTCCAGCCGCAGGCAAATACTTGGTACAATTGTTATAGTTAAATTACCAACACGCTCAATTTCAAGTCCGCTTCTTCTTGGCGAAGTTAGCCTTAATATTCCCTCCCGGGTATCAAGACACTTTTGCCCCCTATTTCTGAAAGCTCGTAAAGCTAATTTTGAATTGCACGACCCACTCCGTTGCTTATGCCAGGATTTTAACCCTCATTCCAGCACGTTTGATATATCAGATCCGCTTTTCAGCATTAAGAAATCGTTACTGTCCTCTCTCAATAAATGAATCATTAAAATAAAGACATAAAATCGGCTGATGAATTTAGTTCTGTAGCTGAACAGTTTTAGATCTCGACACTTAACAAACTCCTGCCTATCGTGACTCGGCGCAAAAATTGAAAATACTGGTTCCGTACGTCATGCGGACTGCGCTCCTCGTGCGGATAGGCGGGAATGGAGGCTAAAAACCGTTGGGATATTAAAAAACGTCGAGTCGATTAGCCATGTCCGTCTGTCTGTTCGATCGCAGTTTTCGAGATATCCGACTGAAATTTGGTAGCGGTTGTATTTTTAGAATTTGTCGGAAGCGGAAAATCGTACAATGAGATATTTCGCTATAACTCCTCTCTATTTTCAATTATCATCAACAGAAAGCTTTACAGTCAGTCAATAAAGTTTAGGTACAGCGAATTTTTTACAATACCGGAAACTATTTGTTAAATATTTTATTTTTCGCTAATTTTTTATAAAAATGCGGTTAATTCTACAACAAAAACCCCAAAAATCAGAGTTCCAAACCTTATGCAAAGTAAAGAAAATTCTGCAAATTTTCATCCAAATATTGCACTTTTTATTTATACTCTTTAGAAAAAAGTGGAGTACGCAGTTTTTTAGCCCATAGTACAAGAAAGTGCAAGTTTGAGATAGCTAGGACTTAACCAGTGTTGCCATTTTGGTGCTTTTGGAGCTAGATTTAGCTCTTTATTTTACTATTTAGCTCCAAAAATTAGGTTCTAGCTCCTGGCTCTTTTTTTAGCTCTTTTCAAATTTATCTAGCACTTTTTTAGCTCCAGAAAGTTTTAGTTGTATTTGGTATATATAAGCCAAAACTTAAGCGTTGATAAAATGGAAAATTTCGAGATGCAATGTATCCACCATAAACTCTTGGATCTAGGTTAAAGAATTCAAAAATTAATTAAAAGAAAATCCTTTATCTGATAGCGCGGATTTTGTTTTACCTCACTAATTTTACTTTTAAGGAGAGCTGGAAGTAAAACTTTCCAGAAAAATTTTGCGAAAAAATTATTCAATTCAAATATCTGAAATTACAGACTTTAACAGTTTCTAAGGTATTTTTAGTTCACTGTTATAGCACTGCCATAGCAACGAATTCGAAATATATGCACCTTATTTTGGTTTTAAAAGATTTTTTTGGACTTAAACCCATAAAATTCGTTGTTTTTATTAAAATTGCCGAAAATATAAAAGCAACCTTACGTCAATAAATGCTCAACCTTAACAAAAATATGTAGCTCTTCATTTTAGCTACCAATAGTATTATTTAGCTCTTTTTAGCTCGTTTTTCGACCGTTTTAGCTCCGAACGAAATTTTTCTCTGGCAACACTGGACTTAACATTGATGTTTAGCAATTTGTTTGTTTGTTGAAGGTGTCGCTCATTTTCTCCATATAAAATAATGTTTGATAATTTTTTATATGGAAAAAATGTGCCAAACCTTCAACAAAAAAATTTTCCAAAAATCAATGGTAAGTCCTAGTTTCCTCATACTTGCACTTTATTATATCAAAATTGAAGGGGCTAAAAATCTGCATACTCAACTTTTTCCTAGGGAACGGAAATAAAAAGTGTAATATTTGAATGAAATTTCGCAGAACTTTCTTTAATTTTCCACAAGGTTTGGAACTCTGATTTTTGGGCTTTTTGTTGTAAATTTAAATAATATTGAAATTAAAAGAAAAAATTGGTGCGACTTTCTTTCTTCATAAATTTTTATGATTTCAGAAGCATCGGTTCATCCTTTCCAAGGCCCAAAACAGCATTTGTGCTCCAGAATTAAGCGAACGTTCCAAAAGCTTCTTTTCTATTGCTTCTTTTACGAAAAAAAAAGGTTCAACTGCAAATAAATTTTGACAATTTAGAATTATTTTCAAAAATTATAAAGAATGTGGCTGCGTGATTAGAAGTGCGTACTACAACTTCGTAGGGCCTGGGTTCGATCCGTTGTCTGGGTAACATCTAAATTAGAAAACTTATTTCGAACAGCGGTGGCCCCTCGGCAGGCAATAGCAAAACTCCAAGTATATTTCTGCCATGAAATCATAAAATCTATTTACTGTTCGGAGGCGGCGTAAAGCTGTAGGTTCCTAGGCTCCTGCATTTTTGTAACAACATCAAGACACACACACAATTGGAGGATACGATTGGCCAAACACTTATAAAAATTGTAAGAGCCAAAATATTTTTATTATTAGAAAATTTGAAAAATAATTTTTGTCAGCTGCTCATAGGAAGCCATTTTAATACATGTTAAAAAATTTAATTTTGGTATGGAAGCTCCTGATTTTTCCATCTAAACTCAACCTTCTAAAATAAACACAAATATACATACAAACTTTTAAGCTGCAACCGATTAATGCGGATGACATTTAACAACTAATCTTCTACTAAAACCCCTACCTCTTTTCTCATAATTTCACCATGCCCCTTTTTATTATTTATATGTAGATATGTACATTAGACTGTCCGAAGAATATATGGAAAAAAATTTGTTTGCAAATTTTGATAGATATGCATACCTTCCGTATTGGTGCTTTTTATCCTAAATACCATATACATATATGAAGTTTTTTGGCCATAGGATAACGATAAACCGTATCGACTTTTAGTTGAAGTTTTAGTTAATAACTTGAATAATCGTCCATGAAAACTTTGGAAATGCGAAAAATTCGATATGTTTCCCATATTTGAATGCATTTATAGTAAGTCTGCATCTTTAAATTTCTAATAGGATGGCAGGATTTCTCCCAAAGAAATCGAAAAAATTAAAGAAAAGAAAATATCCTTTGCAATGCTTATCCTTCAATAATTATAGGACTTAAATTAAACCAAGATTCTTCAAAAATAATTAAAAGTTAAAAATCTTGAAGGATAATATTTTTAAAGGACATTTTTAACATGTTCCAAAAGGTCATAGTTAATCTTGCCTTGAATTTTTCTTTTAATTGATGCCCATATATCCATTTTTGGGCAAAATTTTGGAAATATATTATAATTTATAGTCCTTTGGGAAAAATCCTGACTACCTGACTAAAACGCAGATTTACTAAATATTATACCGTAATACTGAGTATAGTAATACCGCGTTATATTGAAGTAAAATGAGTAAGTTAACAAAACACGCGAACTGCACAAAGATGATTTTGATAACCTTTACTGCAAGCCGGCATGGGTTGCCATGGTCCGAATTGCATACAAATTTACTTGGATAGTTTTTAAGACAAACCCAATAAAATGAGGGGGTATGCGTTAGAAAAAAAAACTTTGGTTTTTGGGGCGGCCGCCTTATGTACATATTTATGTATTTATGTTATAAACGAATTATTATATTATATATTGTGCAACGATTTTCCGTCATCCCTTGTCAAATTCGGTTTGGAGACAAACCGGTTTCGGCGTTGTGCCATCTTCAGTGTCATTTTTCGTCGTGAAGATGGCACAACGCCGAAACCGTTTTGTCTCCAAACCAAAATTGACAAGGGATGCGGAAAATCGTTCCACAATACATCATACTCCTACCCTGTCGGAAACACAAACAACCAAAAAGAAATTATTATATTCTCATTCTCTGATTCGTTGATGTATACCCTTCAGACTCAGAAACTGTCGCAGCTCTCCAGCCAATTAAAGAAGAGATCGATAAAGTGGGCTCTGTTGTTCAGGGCGAGACGAAAGTTGAATTGAGAAAGTCATCATGCAGTAACGGTGAGTGCAACTTGGGAAATTTCTTTTGTGATGCCATGATACACGCTGTAAGTAAATATTACAATTTCGAATACCTATTTAAATATAAAAAATACTTTATTTGTCTTTAATCACATATAGTTTGCTGGATTAACCCCGTTCTCAGAGCAGCCCTGGACAAATGTTTCCATTGGCATTGTGAATACAGGGGCTTTGCGTGTTCCACTTTACAGAGGCAGTGAGTAGCAAACACTTTAAATAAAAGAATGCGATTTGTATACTGCTCCAATTTTAATTGCAACTTGTTTTGTAGACCTCACTTATGCTCATATAGTGGCAATGTCGCCGTTTGAAAACAAACTCGCCGCATTTAATCTTCCTGGCCATAAACTATTAGAAGCTTTGGAATACAGTGTTAGCCCGATTGACTTGGAAAATGGAGTCACTAGCTCCTATATATTTGTTCAAGTTGCAGGCCTAAAAATAACCTATAACTTTGCCAACACAGCAGGTGAACGAGTAGTCGATATAAAAGTACGCTGTGCCGAATGTGAAATTCCTGTCTTCGAGGACTTCGATTCAACGAAAATTTATCGTATCGTAGCGCCGGATTTCCTTGCAGAGGGAGGAGACGGGTTTACAATGCTAAGAGATCATGGTTCCGACTGGCAGTGAGTATAATACAAAATCTACTTTAATACTGGCAATCCACTCCCAATTTTTCATTATCGAATTTGTAGAAAGGAGATGTCCGACTTGGATGCACTGTTGTCATATACAAATGAAATAACCCCTATTTATACCGGAAACGAAAGACGTATAACCGTGTTACGATCGTAGAAAAAAATAAAAAAAAGTCTGATCATGAGCAGACATATTAAGAAGAAAACCATCATTTGGTCGCATTAAAGAAAATACCTGAGTTATGAATTTATTCATCACATAAAATAGCCTAGTGTACGCGGATTTATGCATGTTTATTAACTATTATGTATAATAATCAAACTGTGCTAATATTTAATAAAGTTTTTCTTCATGTCTAAAGCACCTTCTTGCAATTTTCGTTTACAAAACCATCGCGAAAAGAAAAGTAACAATGTAAAATATATTTAAGAGACTATTTAGCATTTTAGAAACATTGGTTCATAAAAGTCTGATGAAATTAGTTATTATAAGCCCTGGATGTACACTATGTGCTCTCGGAGACCTGGCACAGGGCGGCATAGGTATAAATATACTTTCAAAATTATAAAATACTAGCTTATACCCGTGGGTTTCAGCCCATGTTTTTATACAAATATTAAAAATAATTTAATGATGTTATATTTTATTTTTGTGACCATTTTGTTATAGCTCGCTATTTTTTAAGCTAGTTAAGATATTTAGGCCGTTTAAAACTATGAAATTATAAAATCTCGTCTGCGCGCTAGGCATACGAAAGATATCAATCCCTCTAAGTTTACCTTAAAATCAGAGACCAAAAATAACTGTTATCTTGAATTTACAAATTGAAAACGTTGCCTGAATTCTGAAATTTAACGAAAACGTTGTTTCGTAACAGCTAATAGATGAGAAATATTTTTTCCGTTGCTGATAAGAGTTATTTCCCAACGTATATTTTTTGCGTTGCTCGATAACGGTTATTGCCCAACGTTTATTTTTTACGTTGCTTGACAACAGTTATTGCCTGACGAATATTTTTACGTTATCTGATAATAGTTATTTCACTCTCTCACTTTTATTTCATCGTCTTTATCTTATTCTTCATCAATATCCTAATCTTACAACGCTTATCAGACAACGTAAAAAATAAACGTTGTAAAATAACTCTTATCCAGCAATAGCCAGTTGGGTTATAACTCTTATCGACGAAATAAAAAATATTTCTCATCTAATAACTGTTATGGAGCAACGTTTTTGCCATAAAACTTATAACTGTTATGTCCCTGCTTAAAATGATTCCAGGGATACGACGCGTGAACGTGTAACCTTCTTGGAGGTGTCACGGCGGGTTCTAATATTTCCAACTCAAATTTAGTAACCACTTCTCATTACTGTAGCAAATGCCTCAAGAGGTAGGTGTGCACCATGAGAGCTTTAGATTATAAGGCCAAACCCGGCTCTCCCTTTTCCATTCAATTAAATTTTTTCTGTCGGTACGGCACTTATAAATAAATCTCCATAACAAATTTAAAATATTTCCAAAGTTTTCTATCCTTCCAGAGATATGTATTAAGAAATTTTTAGTATGTATGGGAGGCGACTTGACTCCTTTTTAATAACTCACATTTTTCCATGAGCCATTGATACATTTTGTATACACAACTCCATACCAAGTTCTAGTATTCTTCCACAAACATTTCCAGGGATATGTGGCAAGAAAAAGTCAATTTTTACAGGAAGTGCCACGCCCCTTTTTCTTATAACCTTAATCTTCTTCCATGAATTGGTTTTACCTACCCCAGTACCAAGTCCCAGTACTCTACCATGAACACCTCTAGAGATATGCAGTATAAAAAGTAAATTTGTACGGGAGGTACTATGGCCCCTTTTCGAATAACGCAAATTTTTCTCCATGAGTATGGAATTAATTTTGTATACACATCTCGGTGCCAAGTTCCAGTCCACTGCAATAAACACCTCCAGAGATATGCAGCATAGAAAAATCAATTTGCATGGGAGTTGCCACACCACCTTTTCCAATAACTCTAATTTTTCTCCATGAGTATGGTATTAGTTTCACATACATACATACATACAAGGACTATGTTCTCTTTGACGTACGTCAAAGGTCAAGTAGAAGTGGGAACTTTTATGGCTGCCCATTGATAGCTCGGTTATATAGCTTAAGAAATAATATTTTAAAGACATTTTTATCAAAGTTGCTAAATATGACATTTGACCGGCTTTGTTACACAAATACTCCTACGACCACAGACAAAAATATTGGCTACAACAATATAATAATAATATCCCAACGGTTTTTACCCTCCATTCCCGCCCATCCGCACGAGGGGCGCAGTCAGCATGACGTACGGAACCAGTATTTTCAATTTTTGCGCCGAGTCACGATAGGCAGGAGTTTGTTAAGTGTCGAGATCTAAAACTGTTCAGCTACAGAACTAAATTCATCAGCCGATTTTATGTCTTTATTTTAATGATTCATTTATTGAGAGAGGACAGTAACGATTTCTTAATGCTGAAAAGCGGATCTGATATATCAAACGTGCTGGAATGAGGGTTAAAATCCTGGCATAAGCAACGGAGTGGATCGCGCAATTCAAAATTAGCTTTACGAGCTTTCAGAAATAGGGGGCAAAAGTGTCTTGATACCCGGGAGGGAACATTAAGGCTAACTTCGCCAAGAAGAAGCGGACTTGAAATTGAGCGTGTTGGTAATTTAACTATAACAATTGTACCAAGTATTTGCCTGCGGCTGGAAAGTGTAGGAAGATTAATAAGTTTTAATCGGCTCGTATAAGGTGGAAGGTTATATTGAGAATCCCAACGGAAATTTCTTAAAGCAAAAAGTAGGAATTGTTTTTGAATTGATTCTATCTTGTCTGAGTAAATTTGATACCAGAAGATTTACTTGACACCAGTAAGCCATACTGTCTAAGTCTGATTGTAGCAAAGACCTTTCTTTAATTGGATTTATAAAGCTTTACATCATCTGCATACATTAAAATTTTGGAAAATTGTATATCTGTAGAAATATCGTTTATAAAAAGCAAGAACAGAACCGGGCCTAGGTGGCTACATTGAGGAAGTAACATCAATGACGTCAGAGATAGTATTTTTAAACATTACCCTTTGTGATCTATCATAGAGGTATGAAGAGATCCAACGTAGAAAATTAGGTGGAAGACCAAGAAGATCAAGTTTGTAGATGAGCAACGAGTGGCACACTTTGTCAAATGCTTTACTGAAGTCAGTATATATAACATCAACAGTTTTGTTTTCACTAAATGCTTTTGAGATATAGGATGTTAATTCAAGTAAATTTGTAGAAGTTCATTTGCCCTTGCAAAATCCATGTTGACTATATGAAATGCTGGAAAAGATAGAATGCGTCAACTGATTTGTTATAATTACTTCAAATAACTTAGGAATTGCAGAAAGCTTAGCTATTCCCCGGTAGTTCTCCACTGAAGATCTGCTACCGCTTTTATGTAACGGGGTTATGAACGTTTCCTTCCATATAGTTGGAAAAACGCCTTCTTTAAGAGATAAATTAAATAACGCTGTTAACGGCTCATAGAGATAATCAGAACAATTTATAAGAATACAAGTAGGGATCTAGTCAGGATCATAACTGAAGGACCGCTTTAAGGATTTCAGATAAACTACTACATCATCGGGAGATATTACTGGGATATTTATTGAGTTCATTGGACATAGTTCAAAAGGATAGTCAATGTTAGCATGTGAGTTAATGGAATAATTGGATTTAAAAAACTGAGCGAACACGTTAGAAATTGTTTGATTATCACTAGAGACGGTATTTTGATACTTCATGGCGAAAGGAAACCCACGTACATTTCGCTTGGAGTTTACGAAGTCATAAAATGATTTCGGGTTATATATTATACGCCGTTTGATTTTACACAACGGCGTATAACACTTTTTGTTTAATTCAAAAAACTAATGACGCAAAAGTGAATATTTTACTTAGTATGGGTGTAAACCGGTTTTTTTGTGTAATCTAAAATAACGCGACTTTGTGTTTTTCAAATTTCTCAGTTCCTTAGTGAACCATAACTGTGTCTGCTCTTCAGGAACATACATACGTTTAGGCACATACTTTTCAAATAATTTATGTAAAGTAAAGTTAAAAAGTGCAACGCTTTGTTCAATATTTTCTTTAAATGCAGGCCACGACAATTTAGACAGTTCTTTGTTAAGCATTTTAAAGTTGGCTTTCGAAAAATCAAAGCGAATATGCTTGGGTACTGCAATTTTGACCATCACTTATAACTTCGTAAGATACCTCCATATCAGGGTGGTAGACATCTTCGGGCAAAACTAGTGGATCACACTTATTTACAACGGACTTAGATGCATCATCAACATAAACAAGATCTAATACTTTACCAAACTTATTGTGAAGTACATTAACCTGAGTTAGGCAGAGTTCAGCCATCTCCTCTAAACATACGTTGTTGCACGCACTAGACGCGAAAGGTATGATATCATTGTCAATGATGTTCCATGATATGCTTGGTAAATTAAAATCACCCAACATAATCATTGAATCAGAAGGTTTAGTCAGTAAATTAACTGATTTCAGTAAAGAGATGAGTCGTGAATACACCAATGTGTCAGATCGGGGAGGGATATAGCACAGAGCTAAGTAAATAGACCCTTTTCCAGCCTGTACACGAATGGATTTGAACTCTACTGAATCAATGTGTGGAAGACTAACTTCTTCAGATGGTATTGAAGAGTCTACAACGAAGAGTACGTCACCGCCGATTCTGTCCTCCCTATCTTGTCTATAGATATGATAATTATTTGGAAGAATCTCTGAATTGAAAATGTGAGGTTTCAGCCAAGTTTCAGTAACAGAAAGAATATTATAATTACATTCAAGGCCTTTAAAGTATAAGCTCGTTAATTTAGTATTAAAGCCTCTTACATTTTGGTAATAAATACTTAAAGCCGATTTAATAATTAGTTTTTTGATTCAGTGTTATGACGGGGAATATTAGCTAAGTTATTTACTTTTTTGGGCCTATATTCGAATTCACGAACGAAAGCTCCGGGGGCCAAAAGGAACTACTAAGCAGCGCATTAAAATTATCTAAATTTACGTCAATTTTAAATGAAGCAATATTTCTTTCGTAATTAAAATTAAATTTAAATTTAAATTTAAATTTTCTGATGCTTAAGTCGACAGTTGTAATTTTTGATGAGATGTAAAGCTTTATATCGTCTTCGGTAGTGTCTCTCGAAAATCTAGAAACAAAGATTGACTTCTTTGGCGGAACCACAACTAGTTTCCTCGTATCAGACTGGACTACCGGTGGAGGGGGTTGAGTTTATGCGTTAGTAGTTGAGGATAGGGAAAGCGGTGGAGGCTTTGAAGATGATGCCACCACTTCAATGGGGGAAGGATATGTAATATTTTTTTTCCATATATACGTTTTATCGGTCCACTTGCAAAATATTCGCATTCGAAAAAGCTCCGCATTGATTATTGCGAATGCGAAAGCGAATGCGAATGTTA